AGTACAAATCATATAATTGTTAGTATGAACACATCAGTGTGTTGTCTTTAGTGTTGGTGAGAAACCTCTGTGATAAAGAGGTTAAGAATATAGAATACTATGGAAAGAGCATAGCAGCAAGTTGATGCAAAAGTAGACTGAAGTGGCTGTTAGTATGACTGGAGAAAAGAAATGTGTGCTTACTGATATTGTAAGAACAATAGGAATATATATATTTTACTGTCTTCACTTCTGTTGTCTCTAATGAGTTTCAACTGGTTTATTTCAAATTAAAAGACCACTTTCCTTTTTGTCCAACCCAGTCCATCATTGGTCATGATCCAATGTTTAGCAACTGCTTCAATGTGGTATTACATACCATGGTCTTTAGGGCTATTATTTTATAAATACTTTTAAACTAAGAATATACTGATGTCGCACTGTGTCTTGTTCTGCAACACATCCGGATACCTCTTGCAGACCATCACTGGTGATGATCCAAAGTTCAGCAACTGCTGCAGTGTGGTATTACTTACCATGGTCTTTAGTTACCAGTGCCTATCATTAAAAGTCTAACTTTATGTGTGTAAATTTAAATACCTTGATTTCTTCTGCTGGATGCATTCAAAGCTTCCTTGAGGGTTATCAGCCTCTGTGTTTGAAACAGTAAAACCAAATGAATGGCTGTCCTTGCTACTAACTGGGATGTGGATTACCTGAAAACAAATCACAATTTTTGCTTAACTTACAGTGTACTACTTGAGTAAGGAAGCACATTAAAGTAATATAATGATAAGTAGGCAAACAATGACTTACAAGCATAAGGAAGAATTTTACTGATGGTGGAACATACAACATGTTTCAATAGAACATACCCGAAGCAATGTTCTGTCGAAACATGTAATATGTTCCACCATCAATAAAATTCTTCTTTATGCTTATAAATTATTGTTTGCTTACCCATTACTTCAAACACTTTTTCTAAAATTTCTATAAATCAATATTGTTGTAGAAATTAGAACAGTCACGTACAAAAAAATAACTCAACTTCTAATCCTATTTATCTTATGCTTATCCATATATTCGAGTTTTACTTTTAACACACCAGTTTCTCACACATGAACCAATATGGCCAGAATAATTTGCTACACTTGTAACATGTTGTCTGACTGTAATAGGAAAAAAAATTATTACTAAATGCTCAAGTTTTGACCCGACTTCTAAGGTCTCTATTGGATTAACTAATATCTACGAGATAAGTTTCAATGTTGGCTGAGTTTTTAATATCCATTTCTAAACCTTAGCAGCAGTTCAACCTAAACAGACTTTAAATGAAATGTTTTAAACACAAAGTTCTGTTTACAATATTCTGGTAATGATCAACTATAATACTTCTCTTCTGTTGCTCGAGAAAGAATGATAATAAAAAAATATCTTCAGTGAAGATACTAACTTGTTACATTTTCTTACAGGGTAAAACAACAACAATCTAAAACCCGTGGTGGGCAGAGCACAGATAACCCATTGTGTAGCTTTGTGCTTAATTACAAACAAACAAACACAATCTAAGGCAGTTTAGTGATGTTTACTTGTTAGAGAAACACTTGAAAGAAGATTGACCACTGAATTTTCAGGAGAGATTCACTTTAATTATAAAAATGAATGAACAAACTATTTTGGTTTAGAATTTGTAGGAAAGTTTAAGATAAAAAAAAAGAAAAACTCCCATTTTCTTATGCTAACAACAGTGATACTAAGCTGATTCTGTACAAATTCCTTTAACATTCTTTGTTCAAATAAAAATTAAAAAGAAATCTATCATCAAAAGAATGAATTACCAAGCACAGACATTTATACTACAGGAACTATTTATTACAACGGTACAAGCTGTATCTAAATGTGGGCCTGCAACATAGCCTTAAGAAAATAAAGTTACCTACAATACTTTTTATTACAAGATGAATTACCATAAATAAAAACCTTCTTCTTTTTGATTTAATTTTCTTATATATATTTTCCTAACCCTAAAATTGTACAGAAACTAGTGGATCTTTGGTTATCACAATATATTGTAAATAATCAAATCCACTAAAACTGTCTTTCAATGATAAATTAGTTTCAGAGTTTCCAAATAATACAACTTTTATATTAATAAGTTCACCTCTTGCAGAGAAACTTTCATTTAAAAGTAAGTTTTGACCAGGTTAATGATTTTGATTAACCCTCAATCCATATACTAAGTTAACAATGCAGAAGTTACAATAAACTTTATAACCAATAAAATGTAATGATAAGTAAATGTAAATAAAAAAAAATGGAATAAATTATTTTAACACACAGGAAGGAAGAACTGGTATTTGTTATTCAAATATACAAAGGTTACTACATAAGTAAAACCACTGTACTGAAAGGGTCAGGTGTCAACTTTGTTTAAAGTTATATGTACAGGATGTTGTATTCAGAAAATATGACCACATCTATACCTGTAGAATATCTCATTCTTGATAAATCATTATTTCCGAGTACAGTAATTCATTTCCCGTTTCTACACGCATAATGTATATGTTTACAGTGTATGTTCGCTTACTGTCCATCATGCTTACAACTGTTTCAAAAACAAATTTCTTCTTACTTTCACACCTATCACTTTACTTAAAATGATGATTTAAACGTTATCAGTATAGAAATAATGTAGTCTTTTTCTAAGGTATTCTTCGATCATTTGTTGTTTGTTATTCTGTTTCTAGGGTGCAGTCAGAGAATTCTACTTTATTGAACTTAACTATAATCACGTTTCCCGATTTGATAAACACTTCCTTTCTTTCATGTCATAAGTAAATACCTTTAGCTTTGGAATGGCCAGAGAAAAGTCTACGTTATCATCAAATACATATGTACATTTTTTCCATATTTCTCAAATGAAATGCACAATGTATTTACCTACATCTGGTACTATTATCTCAAAAATAACAGAACAAAGAAAATATGTATTGAATTTTGGAAGAGCTGAACTTATTATTTTTTGCATATTACGTAAAATGAACATGATTTATCATCTCGTGTGATATTCAAAAATATGATAACAGTAACTATACATTTACAACACTACAAATTTTGCTTTGTTGGGATGTAATATAACCAGCTTCCAAATATTTCAACTTCTGTCAGACCCACAGAGTAAAAACTTTTAATTGTGAAAAAAATCCCCATTATATCTAACTAAGTATTTATTTATATTTTACATGTAGGATGTGAAGAATATTGAAAAATTTTTCTGCTTCTAAGCTCATCAGATGAGAGTTTGTTCATGTAACACTTGTTCACAACATATTTTAGAAGTTTATGTAATTCATACTGATACTGAATGATTAGTATTTTTTTGTGAAATAAGGCAAAAGGCACAGTCAAACTCATGTTGAAAACAATATAATGACAAGATGTTTTTATGTCCATCAGTTTTGACAACATGATTTTATGTTTATATTATTTTAATTTAAGCATTTGTATTGTACATATAAAATAGTTTTTAATGTGTGATTCAGTTGTATATGATGTTGACCATTAACTTGGAATCACAATGTTGATTGCTCTTTTACATAAAATATCTGATTAAACATTATGGGCATGTATATTCTTTATGTAGTTCATTACACTAATTAATGGATGTTTATATGAATGAAGTACATGATTTGTACTTACAGCTGGAATATTTATTAATTGATGTTTATATGAATGAAGTTTGGAGCATTGTTCTTAAACAACCATAAGTGAATGAAGATTGTTAACGCTGACATGCTCGTACTAACAGTTTGAAGTGTTGTTCTTAAAACTACCATAAGTGAATGAAGATTATTAACACTGACATGCACATACTAACAGTTTGAAGTATTGTTCTTAAACTACCATAAGTGAATGAAGATTATTAACACTGACATGCTCATATTAACAGTTTGAAGCATTATTCTTAAACTACCATAAGTGAATGAAGATTGTTAACACTGACATGTTCATATTAACAGTTTGAAGCATTGTTCTTAAACTACCATAAGTGAATGAAGATTGTTAACACTGACATGTACGTACTAACAGTTTGAAGCATTGTTCTTAAACTACCATAAGTGAATGAAGATTGTTAACACTGACATGTACGTACTAACAGTTTGAAGCAT